GCAGAGCACGCAACGAGGGGCCCATTTCGCTCCGACTGGCGCCATGCAGGGCCCCACCCACACCGGCGCGCCGTCGGCGTCCACATCCAATCCGCCCGTGCCTCCCTGACCCGACGCCCCTGGCCTCCACCTCACCCCCTCCCCTCCCCTCCCTCTCCTACCAGCTTGCCGCCGCCGGGCCCCCTTTGTACTGGCGGCGCCGCCGTGCCGTCTCACAGGCGGGGCCGGTAGGCGCCGGCGACCGTCGTCAGCTCGCTGAGCGAGCGCCGCAGCGCCACCGGCGGCTGCAGCGGCGCGCGCGGCACCGCGCCGTTCTCCTTGTCGCGCTGGCTGGACGAGCGGCGCACGAGCCGGCGCTCCAGCCGGTCGCGGCTGGCCGAGCGGCGCGGCGGCCGCCGCTCCTGCTCCTTGCTGGAGGAGCGACGCACCAGGCGGCGCTCCATGCTGGCCGAGCGGCGCACCAGCCGCCACTCCTTGTCCTTGCTGGAAGAGCGCCGCACCAGGCGCCGGTCGCCGTCGCCCGCTGCCGGCGGCCGGGGGGCGCAGCGTTAGCGAGTGTGCGGGCGGCGGCTTTCCCTCCGGATAAAATGACGCGTGGCAGGGATGTTGGGGGATTATCGCGCTGTGTTGACATTATGTAATTTCGTTGCGTCCGTCTTACGGTCGATCTACTCGGTGTCATATTTCCGGACACCACCGAAGTACGGTACATCAGTTGAACCAGTATGTTTGGGATATTTTTCATTCTTCAGGATGAGCCAAGTGCATGACGCTGGTTCTCGATCCGTGCTACAGGACGACTGATGCCATCCAGCACACATGTTTGATATGTAGGCCCTACTTGAGTTTTTACGGCAAAAAACATTCAAATAGGCAAAAGGTCGTGAAAATGTAAGCGACCTTGGCGGAGCACTCAAACAAAAAACACCAAAAAGATAACAGGCTTCTGGACTCAGTTATCATTATCCAACCGTACTGAATCAACCAATATTCGGTAACAAGACAAAACTGGTTATTCCTTAGAGGGCATGAGAATGCATGAGTTATATTTACACCTGATACGGTATGCTGGATGATACCAAATAACACTATACATGGCGGATGCTAACCAGTAATTGCCCAAAGCATTACGCGGGTGGTCACTGTCACTTGGTTTAGTTATGGATCTCGGTATACCCACGTACTCCTGTACACCATGGGTAAACCGCGTAACTTCACCTATTTTGCAACCACGGTACCCTGTCATGAACATAGCACTAGAAGACCCACAGCGCCAGCTTCACGCTCGTAGGTGACTCTGAATCGCATGTCTGCATCTATAGCCTATAGCAAACCCAAACCGGCAGCATTCCACCGCCTCCACCGGGTACTGACATGAGACGCAGAGAGTGCGCGCGACCACGGACGTCCGCCCACCGGCCGTCGACATGACGTCATCACCGGCCGTCGGTGTGACGCCATCGCCAGCGGGACCGTACAGGTCGACCGGCGTCAGAAACCACTCGGTCCTGGTGCGCATGCGCTCTGTCTGCCGCTCGTGCACCTGGAACGCACGGCTCGGCGTCTGGCACGGCAGAGGTTCAGCGACGGGTCCGGGTTGGGTGCCAGAATGAGCGATGCTCGAGCACTCTGGAAGAGGTCGATCCACCGCGATCCTGACTGGGGGCGGGTCGCCACGCGTCCCCTCAGGTGATACGCAAAAACAGCCGAACGCCTCACATGTAGTAACACACCACCCTTTACCGATCGCGACACGTGAGGCTATGCGAGCAAAACGTGCCAGTTTTTCATTACCTGGTCCTTTCAACTCCTGATCCACCCCCTCACACTTAAGCACTGATCAAATAGCAACTAGCGATGACCCGGGCAAACTTAGGTATCATGCCACGTAGTCTACGTGGCATGATACCAGCATGCATATATATTGGAGAACATAAACCAGACGTAATTTTGCTCCCAACTTCTCCACATAATCCTATTGCAAATCACCGCCGTTTCGCTCGCCGCCACAGCTCCCTGTGCTCACCATCGGCAGACAGGAGCTGTTCGGAGAGGCCCGCTCTGCACCCGGTCGGCCGTCCGAGCCGCTCGTCTCGGCGTCCATGGGGCGGCCCCCAGCGCCGCCGCCGCCCGACTGCGGCCACGCCCTCCAGCTTGCAACAGCGCGCGCCGCCGCCGGTCACCGCCCAACCACGGGCCGTTCGACAACTTGACTGCGCGCGCATTGTGGGCGTTTGTGCTTACACGCACAGCGATGGACTGGGTACCACCAGCGCCCATGACAGCGGAACGGCGGCCGGAACTCGGGTCTTACGGAAGGCCGAAGTTCTGCCGACTACGACCGTTACGTCGTGCAATGACCAAATTATGTAGACTCGACGGTGACAACAGGTCACCTGTGCGCGTGATGCGCGTGAGAGAGGAATCGGACTTTCTTCTCAGCGGACGTGTCGACACAAATGCGCGATGACACCTCACACCGCCGTCTGACATCTACCAAACGCATAGTTATATCCCGAAGAGCATAGTTAACCGCTAACGCATTACCGCCCTCACCACAACATGGTCACACATAACAAAGTACGAGCACTTGTCCACTAAATCATAGTCGCGTGCGGCGGCGGCGGCGCGGCGCCACCCTCCGCCAACCGACCTGGAATAGGGCGTTTCTCCTCGAGGCTGACGCTGAGCCGGGGGCAGCTGGAGCCGAGCGTGTTCTCGGGCACGGCGAGCGGGGCCGGCGCGCTCGGCCGCGGGCTGGCGCCGCTCTCCATGTGGAGCCTCGCCGGCGAGGAGCGACAGGCGCCCTGCGTCGAGAGAGCTGTGGAGGCGGGGCCGAGGCGGGCGCGGTCAGGCGCGTGTGAACTGCAAGCGTCTCCTGGTGACTGGTGCGCTCCACAGGCCACATACCGTACTGAGTGATACTGGCTGTACTGACAGTGTGGACAGATATGGGGCGTCAGGTAGGGCGCGGCTGTTCAGGGTCGTCACAGCTTCTCGGCGATGGACAGGAAGCCGGGCAGATCAATCTGAGCATATATGGTCTGCTGGTTTTAAGGACATTTCCCAACCAAGTGGGGACGGAAAAACCTATCATGCGTGCACCGTCTGGTTAAAATCCCTGCGGATGACGTTTGCGTATAAAATATGTGCCTAAATAAGAAACGGAGAAAGGAGCGGACACAGTCAGGACGTCGCCACACCCAGACCCCGCGCAGAAGTGTCACGTGACAGAAGGAATGCCCGTTTCAGAAGCATGAGCCTGCAAGACAGCTATGAATCAAGACATAGGACACAGACACATGCCAAGCACGCAGCGACGCACGAACGCGCACGCACGCACGCACGCACACATGCTGCTGCATGCGCTATATATGGCAAAACATGGCCACGGCACAAATACTTTACATAGAGGTTGTCTCGTACGACTATTCAACACAACCATTCAAAAAGCATACCAGCGTTGCAATTACGATCCTGTAGACAATGGGCCGACCTCAATCTGACAATAAGTCTGGTGCGAATCGTGCCCAGAGAAACGATGAAGACCTCTGCGTATACGATCGCCAAGTCGCCAACGGGATAACGACGATGCAATGCGTGTCAAAGGCGCAGGGAGATTTACGTCGCGCTGGAGACGTGTCCAATAGTGAAGCAGACAGCTTTTGACCAGCGGTGTTTCGTAGAACCTATCGCAAATGCATCATCTGCGCCTTCGCTAACGGTCACTCATGAATCAGACACATTGGCCAACTGACGCGCAGACAACGCTATGAAAAATAAAACTTTGAATACGCGCTGAACGCGACCTGAAATACTACTCGGAACATTCCATAATGGCGAATGTCCAATCCTAACAAAACAAACTCGCGCTTCAGGCCTACAACAGAAAACTTTCAATAGACTGGTTCTAATGCTGATGTTCTATCTAATGCTGTCTAATCTAATGCTGTCTAAATCTAATCTAATCTGATGCTGATGTGGAGACATCTCAGTCCATTTTTAAAAAATATGAACAAGGAAGGCATCAATCCTCATGGACAATACCATACACAAAATAAGGAAAAAGCCAAAAAACATTGCTCAGCGCAGCCACGGATGTGTGACAATCGACGCTCTACGACAGTCACTCACACACACACGGACGGCGCGCCACCAGCACAGGCTGACGGGCAGCAGCGGCAGCACAAACACAAGCACACCGCCGGCCAGCCGGCCGGCGTGGGCAGCGCAGCCTGTCAGCGAGGCCCGCGAGACAGGCATGGACGTGTGAGCAGGCACGTGCGTGCCGACCTTCCAGTTGGATGCGAGCCCCGGCGGCCGCCATCTGTCGGGTGACCCGCTGCCGGGGGGCGACGGAGACGGCGCGCGCCCCTGCAGCGCACGGCCGCCCCATTGGCACCGGTCGGGGGGGGGGGGGGGGACGCGCTCAAACGACATGGCGAGGGGGATGCCTGACCTTCAGCCCCGGCCGCGGCAGCGCGGCTACGGCTCCGTTAAGCCGAATGACGGACCCAATCCGGCGATAGCGTGGTAAACACACAGTAACGCCACTTTCCGATGAGAACCGGGCCACTCCATAAATGTGTCATCCCCATCACACAGCCGGCAGCCACGCCATACCGGACGTGGCTGGTGTCGGCACACCACCTCAGTCCCAGCACAGCGCTGCGTTGAAAACGGTGGCAGTGAACCACGACGGACTGGGGCAGAACTAGCGGACTGGACAGGACGGCACGTCCAACGGAGGGCGCCGAAGTCACGTGCAGGGATAGATACGCTCGGGGCAACGAGCCTCACCACGCACATGTTCAACGTAACAAAACCACGACACCCTGGTGCAAATGTTCCCTTTCCCAGCGTCGCGCGGCTGCTTGTGACGTAAGCTGCCTACGAAGATCATCAACATGTCTCAGCAACCCACACGACAGGCCCCACCTCTGCCTGCTATGGTAACCGCCACGACTCTACCACATAACCCTCGACCACTAACATGTCCCAAGTATGCACCACCTCCACGCTCCCCAGATTGCAGTAGACATAACCGGGTAGTTAGACGAAGCATGCCGACAATGATGACAGAGGACAAACGGGGAAAGTAAGACTTTTAAGGCACGCATCAACTATCATTTTCGACCCGTGTAAAACACGCTTGGGTAAACCAAACATTGCACGGCACTTCATTTCGCGAGCAAAACATAAAAAGGACCCTTCCGTTACGCCGCTGCACTGGCCGCTGGGAGCAGCACCAGAGCCGCCCCCGCACTCACGCGGTACAACACGCAGTCGGGCGGGTAGCGAAAGCTGAAGATCCAGTCGCGCTCCACACGCAGCACGCGGCCCGTGATGCGCGCGTAGTACTCGTAGTTGGCGCGGCCGAAACAGGTCGCTTACGCCGAAGTTGTCGATCAGGAACTTCCATGACACGCATGGCCACCTGGTCGGCAGAGGGGGGCGTTGGCTGGGTGGGCACGGCTAGGGTCGAGCGCGCACCACCCACACCAACCGGGCTACGAATCACACGGCGAGTACACGTGCGATCTGTGCAGCCGTGAATGGGTTTGTCATGTTTGTGGAGCACCCACGGTAGCTCAAGAATGCGCAGCAATAGACAGCGGCCCAATGAAGCCCTAAAGTGGAATGCGTCAAGATGATAACTGGGACCACGCACGAATGACCGGCGAATATCATGTTAGAGTATTCACACCGATGCAGATCTACCTACAACTTCAACTTAGTTCGTACTAGAGCTACACACTAAACAATCGTGCGTCAGCAGACAGGTGTTAACTTACATTCACTTCCTCCTGCACAGGCAGGTGAAAAAAGAGAACACACCATTTGTAACTTGTCATCGTCGACCATTCTGTACGACAGATACTAGGTGGACATTAGCCCACTCCAACGACACAATCGGAGTATCACTGCTTTCCAACCGGCATCCTGTTGAATGCCCACAATCCTCTTATGGCCCCAGGGTGAAACAACAACTGAAAGGTGAAATTGCCATCACAAAATACCTACGCCTTCTCAGTTCAGGAGTGGGGAGGGGGGGGGGAGGGTGAGTACGCCACCTGGCGTCTCGTGGATTCTACAGCATCCCGCGCCATTGAAATGCCTGCCATATGTCACATGTGGTATCCACTGGGCTTTTATGACGCTAACAATGACAACCTTGATTAAAGCATGCTGAAAAGTGTTTGCTGACTCAACAGAACGCTACCATCAGGCCGCTTGCCGATCCAAACGAAACAAGACCAACACCCAACCCTTCGATGGCTCACCGACGCATACCACCAAAGCTCCCCACTCCGACCCCGCCACCAGCAAGCCACACACAAAAAAAAAAACAGCTGGCAGTGGGCCTCGCGCCCGCCACCTCTTGCTCGCGCCGCCCGCCAGCCTACCTTGAAGCGGAGTACGTCTTCGTGGCGCGCGTCACGGCCGGTGACGCAGCTTTGGAAGAAGGAGGGCGCCGCACTGACACCCAGCGCCTCTGACGTCATGCCGGTGCGCGCGCGCTCGGCGTGCGTGGCGATCACGCGGAACGTGCCGAACAGCAGCACCAGTAGGTGCTGCGTGTGAGGCGGCAGCGACAGGATCAGCCTGCGACAGACACGACCGAGGTCAGAGCAGAGGTCGGGTCAGCCCGGAGCCGCTGCAGATCTGGGGCGCGCCGCTGCGCAGAGGCCGACCCTGGGGTCGAGGTCTGCAGACACGTTAGTCTGAGTGCGAGCAGGAGCCACCAGCGAGTGCTCAGCCGTGCGAGGCAAGCGCAGGTCTGTACAGGACGGCAGCACTACTGCACGGAGCGCTTCGGAGACCCAATCCGCACCTACCGTGGTGACCTTGCGCACAGCGCTAATAACGACAGCCAGTGGTCTCGCGCAGAAACCGCACAGCGTCTGCCGATGGCGGGCACTAAGGCATACAAAGGGGGAAAAACAGCGTTTGCCCGCATGACGGACTACATCCTATCCAAACAGGGAGACCAATGCACAAGTACTGCCACAGGCAACGGCAGAGGCACCGAAACCGAACGGGCCTCTAGTCTGCGCGACAGAGGCCAGGACGCTGTACAGACCGGTGTGTGCGCTCGCGCTGCGCCTCAGGGTCGTCCAGCTGGACGATCTCAAACAGACGGTGCTCGTTCTCCAGGCCGAAGATGCCCTCGGGGATCATCCGCAGGAACTTTTTCAGCACGGAGGCGATCGTGTGTATACTGAAGATGAACCGACGTATGCTGTTACCCGTGGCACCGAGGCACGAGACAACAGGTTCACTGGTCCGGGACACCTTTGATAAAGACGTGACATGTCTGAACGTACGCGGCTACACGCATTCAGTCGCAGAGGTGATATTGCGCAACAAGGCGAGGACCTTATCTCAAATCTCTAACCATAAAACGTACGCTGATAAATCGCACAAAACGCCTCAGGCATCGGGAATCCCGTGCAGCCTTACAACAGCAAAACAAAACGGTTTACCGTGCCACAGCACCGCAATGTCGCCTACCTAAAGCTGTCGAGGTTAACTAGTCGTCCGTTCTGCAGGAAGTGAACAAGCTTCTTGATGTTGTTCTGGTGACCGGGCGCCCGGAACACGTCCTTCCGGAACGGTGCCTCCTTGTTCAGCTTCAAGATGAGCACCTGCGGACCCCGCCAGCCAGATCTTCACATACGCCCCACGCGCGGTGACACCGATCATAGCCAGCGGTGTACTAAGCGTGGCTAGGCCGCGTCAAGTGAATGATGTGGATGAAAGAGTGCTCGTCGTCGAAGTCTGTGACATTAAGCTGCGCGCGTCACAGCCGAAGCGGTTTCAGTCTTGCCCTGATTTAAACTGACTGTAGCTTGCGCGCGAGCGGTGAGGGGAGAGGGTGGTAGCAGGGGATGAGCCTCGCTATCCACACAGCAGCGCCCAGACAGCCAACACGGCCTCATCTAACACTGACAGCACAGCAGTATCGGCTCTGGCCCGGCGAGACCCGGCGAGTCGGCCCGGTCCAAGCCTCACCAGAAGCGGCCCAGGTATGTTGCTCTTGCATACTTGTTCTAGTGGGAAGCCGAACTTCACCCTGCAGAAGGGCGCAGACGAGCCTGTTAGTTCGATCGGGACGGTGCGCAGCGTCCGCTGGGTGGACGGTGCTGACAAACGCTACAAAACCGGACGTTCTCGAGATCAGCAGGACCACGCACCGTCCGGACCTGTGTCCAGTCACGTGACAGGCGGCGGCCGTTGGCGCGGCGGGCGGCGGCCGTGGGCGCGTCCCGGACGCGGGATCTCCCCGGTGTGGGCTCAGCGCCGCGCCCGTCCAGGTTGACATGGAAACGCCAGACGCCAGCCGGCCGCCCGCCACGTCCGCCACGTTCGATGACGAGTCGGGGCTGATGACGAGTCCGGCGAGCCCGACGGAGCAATTACGGCGGCCGTCGGCCGGCAGGCTGAGATCGAGCGGTGCCCGGCCGGTCGGAGCCGCCTCAGCCGGCCATCAAACGGCGCATGCCGGCCAAAGGTCAGCTCTCGTCCGACGGAGGAAGCGCCAAAATGCCGAGCCAGTGACCTCGCGGCTCGCGACAATCGGGACATGCCTGCCGAACTGGTTACAGCCGCTCTGTATGGCTGCACGTGCTATGACATGGGCAAAGTCTGCACCCACCGACAGAGTCACGACGTGACTCCGTCTCTGGCCAATGACGGAATTGTGACAGGGGGTCTGTCTCCGTCTGCACCTAACGGCAGCAGTCCGACGCGGGTCCCATCGGCGCGAAGAGCGCCCCGACACGGGTCCCCACCCGCACGGACAGCGCTCCGACACGGGTCAGGCCTGTGTCGACCGACAGCATCCGAGCACGAGTCCTGTCAGCAACGACCGGCAGCCACGTCACGGGGGTCCGGATCGCGCCGATAGAGCAGGGTTCTGCACCCGGTAATCGTTCCGTCTGTCCCACCTAGCGACGCGTCTTGATCACGCAGCCTGGTGGGTTGCTGGCGTGAGGATAGCTTAAACTGGTCAACAGGAAATAAGCCGCTCGCAAGCCCACCAGCACGGACGCGGGCCCGTTATCACGTCCCCGTTTGCCGGAGATCGGCGATACGAGCGAATCCCTTACTCGAACACGGAGAAACTCAACTCGTGGCAACCCGCAGCGGAGCCTGCGTCGCAAACGCGCAACGATGCACAGAGGATGCTGGCCGCGCTGGGGAAACGAGGGATGGGCCGCCGAAGAGTCAAGCCCCCCCCCCCCCGCGCGAGACCTAGCAAACATAAGATCTCTGGCGGTGCAGTTCGTGCTGCAGTTGATTGCCGGAACTGGCCAGAGACCACAGCCACCCAGCTACAACTCACGTCCGCCCTTGCATCAGCTCAGCGTGCCTCCGGCCACTCATGAATCACCGCTCGCACGTACACACGTCACGGACTGAAGCACGTGACGTCACCGTCCCGGCAAACCGTCGCCAGCCCAACACCGTAGCCACAACGTAGCGGGCCGCAGCGAGTCCGGGAGCGCACAGGCGGACACGGCACACCGGAAAACACACCCGCCTTCAATTAGGGTCGCTGGCAGCCCACCGCAAGCGCCATTAGTTTCTCCTCAGCACGAGACCCCAGCCCACCAAAAACGTCCTACTTTACATTTGGCGACGGGCACAACGGACCGGAGGTGTCCCTCGTTCCCATTAGCCTGGCGCCTGTACGCTGCCTGGTGCAGTACACTGCAGAGATCACGAAATAAAGCGACCACGGAGGATGATCCTCGGATATTGTCACACAACCTGGCACGGTTGTGTCCACAACCTGTCACACAACCTGTCACACAACCGGGCAATATCGCGCTAACAATTTCACAAGCATAACACCCGTGCACAGTGGACAGCACTTCACTCCACTTTCACATCGAGACGCGTCACGCTGTGCACATGACCAATGTCTCCTTCACAGCATGACACAGCGCACCGTTAACATCACACGCACGCAACGCACGCACGCACGCACGCACGCACGCACGCACGCACGCACGCACGCACGCACGCACGCACACACGCACACACACACACACACACACACACACACACACAACACACACACACACACACACACACACACACACACCACACACACACACACACACACACACACAAGACCAAGACGCGGCACACTGCACGCACACACACACACAAGACGCGGCACACTGCACGCACCACCACATCCACTTCCGCACCTGGAGACAGCACACTACAAACTCAACCACCTGCACCGGCACCACAGGGTAAGGCGCGTTTTCGCACAGTAGAAACCAGGGGCGCAGGCGGCAGTACCCGGCTATCTTGTAGCGGCGGCGGTCCGGCCAGGCCCAGCGCGGGAGCCGGCCACAAGCAGAGCCTCGCCATCACGCCCTCACCAGCCGACTGGCGCGTTCCCGGCGCCCGCTGCCGGGCTGGCGCCGCCGCCGGGCGCGCGGCAGGGCAGGGGGCGCGCGGCGGTGGCGGGGGGGGAGGGGGTAGTGATTCTGAGCTGCAGGGCGCGCTGAAACCAGGTCGGCTCTCTTTTGCCGGTGATGCCGTCGCAGCCGCGGCGAAACCGAAACGGTTCAGAGCCGCGCACCACTGATCTACGAAAGGAGAGAAGGGTTCTGGTCCGTGAAAGAGCGTTTGATGTGAGGCTGTTTTCCGAAACTGAAGGGTAAAAGTTAAACCCGGCTGGTCACAGCTGAGTGCGGCGCAAGTACGGCGTAGAGGCAAAATATGAGTTACTGATAATCAGCACAAAACGACACAACTGGGACCGCCTGGTCCATACGTGACATCTATCACGGCTGGTGTACGCGATGTGCGACATAAAAAATGGAGACTTCAAGCGCGCAGTAAACGAACGTGACGGGGAGTAGTAATGCTATGAAAAGCAGTTTATCACACCGCTACTAACGGTATTGCTACCTGAGCGAGGATTTGACCATTCCATTTGCGGAGGTTATCGCTTCCCGATGAAAATGAATCCTCAACAGTATGGCACCCGGAAACTTTTCGAAATCAACACTTACGCATGAACTGGTGACACAAGAGGAGCGTATACCGGAGAGGCAATAACTGTTTCTGCAGAGGGCTACGATTACATGGCATTTACCGAAGGCCGCTCGCATCGACGCGAGTGGGCTTCACTGACTGAAACAACCAGGAAAAGCTGAGGGCCTGACCGCTAGCGATCATGACGACACAAAAAGCAAGGCGACCCTGCGTCTGGGACTGGCCGGGGAAGCCATTACAGAGGACAACGCACCTCCCGGCGGGCCGCCGAACTGATTTTTTTTTTACTGCGACGAAACCGGAGCTTGTGAACGCAAAGGCGAAATATGTAGGCCTGCATGGCCGGCAGCCGCAACCAGCTGGACTTGAGGCATAGACGGAGAACAGCTGGTTGCGCCTCATCTCGCAGACGTTGGATGCCGTACGTCGTGCAGATCCGCGGATGCATTAATCACTAGAACCGGGCAGCTTTCATCGTCGGCAACAGCAAAGAAGCCTGCACGTAAAGGCGTTCTTCCGCGGAATCGTCATCACCCAGCGTCGGCGCTAGTGCCGAGGCCGTTTTCTGAAGCGCCGCAGCCAGTGGAACTCCGGGAAGCGGGGCCGGCTCAGTGCCCGAGTCCGGACGGCCGCCGCGCGGCAGACTGGGTGGTGCCATGACACACCGTTCCAAGAGGAGCGCGTGCCGGTGACGGGGCCACGCCGCCCCGCGGCTGAACCGGCCACCGCCCGCCCCGCCCCGCCGGCGGCGCCCGCGGCTGCCTGACTCAGTCGCCGGCCGCGGCCAGGAAGCGGCCGACATCAAACGACGCTGCGCGGCGGTGCGAGCAGGGCAAAGTCCAGCACGCGCTCTCGACCGCAATACGTCCGGGAGCTACACCGCCGGCCGACTTGTCAGCGCTTCCTCGTCATTGTTCTTGTTCTGCTCTTGATGCGAGGCCCCTCCCGGGATCGTGCCCCGTCGCCCACACTGCATCCCGATCACATCTGGCATTGATTGCAGGCCCGATGGCGACGGTCACGCCCGACTGAAAGGCCCACAAACGGAAAATCGCCCGCAACAAACGAGCGGGCAAACAGCCACACTCACTTCTCGAGCCGGCGCGGGTAGGGGCCGAGCGGCAGGCGGCAGGCGGTGACCACGGTGCCGAGGGTGGCGGCGCGCCGGTGGATGCGCTCCGTCCACGAGGCCATGTCGCCGCTGCTGCGGCCGCGGCTGGCTGCCGGCCGTGCCCGGCTGTCGGCTGCCGGCGGAGGCGGCGCCTTTAGGCCGGACGGGCGCGGCTGCAGCGGGGCCGGCGCACTGACGGGCCGCTTCCTGGTCCTGCCCAGCCGACAGCGGCGCGCACCGGATGTGCCAGATGGTACAGGATTGCGGTGAATGGCCCAATTCCAGCATGGGTCAGATGGTTGGTTGGTGACTGGATGTTTCAGTGAAAGATAATAATGCAATACCACCTACATCAACATCAGTCATGTGATTGTTTGGTTAAAAAATGCTTCACAAATATGCTGTTCCAATTTCACCGCATTTATGGGCATCATGGTTGGTACTGTCCCAGGTTTGGGATTCAGCCACACCATGCATGCCTTTATGATGTTTGGCAATATAAAGACCAGAATGTGTATGTAGCAATGCCTGCATGATTTACAACAGCAAGGCAACAATCAGTTTGCACACCTTAAGTCCCATTACATTCAACAAAAAGTCATGCCAAAGGCACCACAAAATGGAAGCAGTGGTAGTTGGCAAGTATAAACAATCCTCCTTGCTCCAATGTGGCTCTGCAGTTTCAATGTCTTAGAATATATTCAGGCAAGTAGGAGGCTGCCATTCTGCACAAAAATGCCATTCAGAACAATTTAATAATCTGATTGGGCATACCACAACTAACCTCTATTTTGACATATGCCCCAATGATGTCCTTACATGTTCAAGGCAGCAATGAAAAACAGCAATGGCAGGCACCAACTATTGATCATCTGAAGTTCTCAGGACTTTATAAATGTGTTCAGTTATACTTGCCAAATGTTTGATTTTATGCTCATTTGTGCTTATATTGGCTCTATGGTTCAACATAAATACACAAATGAAACAAAAGATGTAGACAAGTTCTGGCATAAATAACATTAACATCAGAAAGCCCAAGATTCAATTAGTAGCTGGTTGTAATGAATAGTTAAATGACTGAAACAAGTCTGTAAGCTAGTTTTACAACAAATGTGCAAACTCATCTGTTTGAAAGCCTGGCAAGGTAAGACAAAAATAATTCATACTTCCTGAACAGCATAATAGATAGATACTTATGTTTGTTCTTGACTGTCAGGCTGGCTTGTCTGAAGTCTGAACACAAATGGGTGAATCTTGAATATATCACCCGCATCTAAAAATGTATTTTTAGTACTTTTAGCACTGCCATCACTCTTAAGCAGATGGCATAGCTACACTGACATATTTTATAACTTTTCAGTTCATACCACACCACATAGCATGAACTACACTCCTGTTGTGCATGTAGTGGTAGACAATTGAATGCTAAGGCATTTGAAAGTAAATTGCAATGAAGGAGGGAAGAGGCAGTTTGTTATGTACTCCCCACTCACCCCTTCCCATTGATGACTTAAGGGGCCTGATTCAGATGGTTTTATATTTCATGGCTTTTTTAAAGAAATAAAATGAACAACAGTTAACATGCTTTTTATATTTCCAGCTCAAAAAACCCACAAGGAGCCAAAATATTTTGCTGGTCCAAAGTCAGTCCTGCATAAAACAGGAGTAGATTGGATCTGTTGACAGCAGCAAATTTCACAGGACCCAAGCTCAAATTGAAAGCCCCTCAGGCTGCCAAACCCTATGAACACTTTCGTCCTTTCCCAGAGCAGTTAAGCCTGTGTGCAAAGGCATATATCTACAAAACATTAATCTTCCAAAGTAACTTCTAACATAAAGGCTTTGAAAGCTGATGTATTTAAAAAGAAATTTGCCTTAAAAGGTGCATTACAGATGAGAGTGAGATATAAAGGTTGAGCCAATTTGATGCTACAGGGATAAAGTCATGTCGGTTAACAGTCTAATGTTAATACAAATATTCATGTCACAATTTGCAGACATTTCTATACATACAGCTGGCATGACCATTGCATGAGTTTCAATAAGTCTTGTTCAATGAGGGGACATGCTGCCATGTGTATAGTCCAGTCCATGTCAATTTGACCATAGACATAGCATTGAATATCACACAAATTCATAATATTCTACATACCTGTTTAGCACATAACAAGATAAACATGCAATGAATCGTGACAAAACCTTGAATAGTGAGTGGATGACATCTTTAGAGTTATCTGAATATAAATGCTGCAGCTCCATGAGCTCATTAATGCAATGAAGTCTTCAATGAACTGCCAAAAGCATAAGTGGACAAACAAGTTATATCACTGGGTTTGGTGAAAACAAGCAAGATAAAAATTTCATTGATGACACGCCACAGTACATACCTTCCGTGATATACCGCTGAACAGCCGGAACAATTGTAGCAGTGAACAAACTCAACGCAGTCACCGATTATTGATTGTTGGTCGCTCCCTACGCCACACCCCGAGCTGTGAACTAAAACGCGATGCTAAGTCTCGTGTGTAGTGACGGCCTTCGTCGTGATCACACATGTTCTACATTACTTTGGTTACTAACGGTGCAGTCAATCAATGCTAAAGTTCGGAACACATTCCCTATATTTGTACTGCACCATCCCACAGCCGCTCGAGCGGACAACCCACCACAATCGCGGAACAAATTATCTCGCCCCAACGTGCCGCACACTCGACATTCATGGCTCACACCCTTCCCCTCCCCTTTTCTAGTCACACTAAACTACTGTAATAATCGTGCCCACTATTCCGCCTGTAAACTATGACTGCTCCACATGTCCATTCAGCTCAGTACTGATCCGCTGGTGGCCGGCTATCCCGCATTTGACTTGGCGACCTAATGTAGCTGTAGCACAGCAAAACTAGCTTAAACAAATATTTTGCATGAGTCCTAAGATTTTCTATTGGTCATTATTGAAAACCGATCATAACTACTAGATCATAACTACTAACTACTATAACTACTAGTTACTAACTACTAGTTATAGTATAACTACCAGGTAGTTCTTGAAGAACTACCTGGCAGCTCAGTAGTGTCACGGAATCACATCATTAATTTCCGGTCTACAAATTACTGTGAACACCGCATTCCTGCTCCAGCGATGCATCGATTTAGTATACCCAGAAGAAATGCGCTCAATCGCTAAAGCCACCATGCAGTGCAGGGGATCAGCTTGGAATACCTACTGACTCGTGCCAAGGAGACCTTCTCGCGGATTACATACAGCGGGAACACCTTCAGCTTCAAAAATATATGCTCGGAGGACCTTTTGCTCTCATTATCCACTCTCAGAAGACCTACTGCTATGAGCAACCACGCTCAAAAGGTTTACTGCTGCGAATACACTTCCCTTCCAAGACCTGCATTAGGAGGGCTTTCTCTCGGAATATCTACGCTCTGAAGGACCCATTGGCTGGAAGGACTACTCCCGGAATACCAACGCTCGGAAGACGTACATATTCCATAAACACCTACTGGCAATGTCCATTATATCAGTTAGAGTGTTTAAGTGCCAGGGGGGAGGGGGGGGGGGCGGTAGTGTAGTGGCTAACGCGTCTGCGTTAACGGGGGGGGGGGGGGGGGGCGAGCTGTGAATGGTCAGGGCGGGATTGGGCTAGCAGGGGCACATACATTGTGTTGAGAACCAAAAGAACTACTCCCGGAAGGCTTGCGTAGCATCATGCCTAGGCTGGCAAAGCCTTCGACATGGCGACCCAACGGCTTAGAGGGCTGATCTAGTATATAACAGCAGGGTAGTTTTGGTGAGTGAACTTACCCTGGACCCATTCCCGCCCCAAAAGGTGAAATGTCGCTGGAGTCGGATCGGAGATTGACCAGAAAACATCATCTGTTGAAAGAAAAACAAGACCAGCAGGTCTTCCGCGCGTACATAATCCGAGCGTACGTTTTCCGTGCGCGTCTTCCTGCTGCAGGTCCTTTGAGGTTTTCCAAGAGTAGATTCATTCACAGCAGTAGGTTTTCGAGCGCAAGTCTTCCAAGCGTGGTTTCGAGACTAGGTCCTACGAGCGTTGGCCTTCCCAGCGTGGGTATTCCTGGAGAAGGCCTTCTGAGCGTAGGTCTCCCGAGTGAAAACATTGGAACAGCTCCCCCGGGCGAAGGCCTTGCTAGCATAGGCATGATGCTGGGCATGCCTCCCGAGAGTAGTTCTTCCGGTTCTCATCCACAATGCATGTATCAGCTGATTATTGTTATGTCTTTTGCTAAGTCGGTCATGTCTTCTTGCTTTGTTGATCATTGTTGTTGCTTCGTGGGGGGGGGGGGGGGGGGGGCGGTTGTGGAACACACGAAAGCTTTGTTTGCAGTCAAGCACGCGCGTAACATCCCGTTAAGATGAAAGAACGTTTGTGCACCCGGTACAGAACGTTTATATAATAGGGAGAAAGCATTGCGAGGTTTAATGTACACAAAAGTCTGCCCCTCGTCCCTCAACTGTTTGTCGGAGTCAGTACTAGTAGTAGAGGAGCTCTTTCAGCTCCACCTCACGCATGACCGTACAACTTTATTTTCAGTGTCATTCTTATCCAAAGGCGTCGCGGGGCTGCACAGAAACGGCGTTTGGCTGCACCAACGACAACACGGCTTTTCAAATGGGCTTCTAAGCACGCCATGAACAAGCAACGAGAAACTGCACCCTTGCCACACAATCATGGTCAGTACCTGTATTGCTACTTTAGAAACACGAGCATTACAGACGCTTATCAATGAGCAGACAACACCATACATTGCAATGAAAGTTACAAAATATCAAGGAATGAACAGGAAATGCGGGGCAATGAGTAATCCACATAGCATTCGTTACATTGGCCAGCCTCCCATCCCCACACGGGACTAAGATATGTAGCTCACAACACACGTGTAATCCCGGCGCCTGTTACAGCAGTGACATCACGCCGTTAAGTTGCCATGAAGTGCCGGATATCAGATGATGTATATCCCGGTACTTCCTTGCTGCAACGTAGTGCAGGGACATCTAAATATGAGGCACACCGTTTCAGTCACGCTCAGCCACGTAGTGTCGGTATATCATAGTGACGTAAAGGACGACTAGAACTGCAATAAAAATGTCATCGAAGAGGCCTAGCATGCCGAAGAACGCTTCGGGGACAATGTCCAGCGGCGACAGGAGGTACATGACTGCCGTGACGAAGCAGGCGACGACGCGGACCCGGAACATCAGCAGCAGGCCTCCCTCGCTGAAGAACTCCAGGCAGAGGTGGCGTAGCAAGCACGGCACGTCCCGGATGTATTCTAGCCACTGAAACCAAAGTTAAGCGTGGAGGCACGCCTTTTTCTACACGTACAAAATGACGCCGTATGTTGTTGCTCGAACCGCAACAAGTTTCTCACATCCTCAACAGACCACAAAAATGTAATCAGCCTGTTGTGTGGCTTTCTGCACTTATGAACAGCATATCGCTGGTCCTACCTCGCGTGGCTGACCGGAAAAGCGTCGATTGTAGGCGGCGACATTATGGCGTGCCGTCAAGCGAGCCTCTGCGCTCTCCAGCTCGGCGCAGTTCAGCTCGGCGTCGGTGAAACAGGCAAACAGCATGATCACCTACCGCAGGATCGGTTCTTTTGTGCCAGGGAAAGACGAGAGGTAGAGGTGGAGGAAACGAAGACGGAGGGAGAGGAGGGATGGAGGGAAAAGAATAGGTATATTGTATACTCAAGCGCAGTATTTTTAATATCAACTGTTCGTAATTTCGCAAAGAAACTTTAACAAACGCCCGGGTGGAGTAGCGTGGGTCAATTTGACCCCCGAAGGTTTTTTCCGGGACGTTTTCCGAGCGCAACGCCGTAGTCGTACCAAATTTTGCAAAGCTGCAGGAAATTGCATAGCGGATCGTTTGGTATAAACAATTTAGATCTACCTTGTAGGGTCGTTGCCCTATGACAGGTCAAAGTTAGGTCATGGATTCAGCGAAAACGATTTTTAGGAAAAATTTTCAAGCTGATGCAGCAGCGGAATGTCAGATGGAGCTATACCTTTCTGAAATAGCTTCTCAGGGCGATTTAACGATTCAATGATAAAATTGCAATGACCTAGGGTCAGGTATGTAGACCTAGGTTAAAACTCTGGAACAGGCTTCTGAAAGGTCAGGTAAGGTCACTGACCTAAAATGACCCCCGTTCAGCATTTTTTTAGCAACACACTGCCTAGCGTAACATTTGACGTTTATTAAAATGCAAAGCTCTATGCAGCCTTGTATAAATTTGTGTCGCTATGACTTGCAAAAGGTCAAACAAGATCACTGACCTTGAATGAGCACCCGCGCCTTTTTTGTTAGAACAAGCATCTCGGTTCTGGGGCACTTTGGACAGCAATCTTGAATTTGGCCTTATTCGCTCTGATTTGACCCGACGGTCATGACCCAAGAACCTCATTTTTTACAAAAGTGAGGACACGTACAGGTCAACACACACACAACACAACACAAATGTCGACGCAACACAACACAGGTCAACAACACAACACAATAACAACAACACAACACACAACAACACACACAACACGCCTTGTAAACTGAATGTATCTAGCTCTCTCAGATTCTAAGATCTCAGGGAGGGTCAAATCGACCCCCGCGAGCGAAGGGTATGCAACCGACCACCCGGCACGTGTTAAAGAATGAAAACACTGAAACCCGATGTAAATTATATCACATACTGAGGTTCTATAACTTTTTAAGAGCCTTGGCTTCATTTAACCGGGATCTGAACTTGAACAAAAAAGCTCGTGATAAACATTGGCCCTTTTCCCGCTAACATTTATTGCACTGGTACCTGATTTGGTCCCGCCGCGTTCCCCACGCGCCTAAATTTGAAAAGCCCAGAGAACATGAAAGATAGGAATGAAACTCGTTGTCTTCCGCCCGGGAAACATTACTCTGCAATCGTTTCCTTTCGTCATCTTGTACCACTTTGTCATTTTACGCTCGGGTTTTCTCATAGCAAGAAATCATAGCGTGCGCGAACGTCAACGTGCGCTCGGGTGGGGGTCAAACTGACCCCCAAAGGATTTTCCAGAGCAATTTTCAAACGGCCTGGCGTAGCATTCAACCGGCTTCCTGGGCGCATGTTAAAGGGAGTGTTCCACATTTATATGGGGCTTTGAACTGAAATAGACATTTTGAAGACCTTTCGGGGCTGATCACAATCATGCCCTTCTTACGACATAAGTCCTAGTTTCTGAACTACACGCCCACAAAAATGGTGAAATGTATATCGGGGAGAGTATTTCAAAGTGACTTTGGTATTCATGTCATGATAACGTTATTCAAATCCTGCCACCCCATAAGCCATGCAGGGATCAAGACGAACAAATGATGTCGAGGCGTTCATATCTTGCGTTCGTGAGCGCGATTTTCAGATATAACAGCCGTCAATTGGCCCTCAGTCGATGATGTGCAAAACGCGATAATGTAATCAAACCACGACGCATTGAGGAGCTTATTTAGTACACAGAGCATTGTGCCGTCAAGAACAGTTTTTCCACTTAATAAGTATACCACGAGGTAGAAGTAAGCTTATTTCATCATATCTGATGCTCGCTTTAATGCCTTCAAACGTCAAGCATCCCCTTTAAATGACATAGGTACACGATAATATGAAGCAAAGGCGTCTCCGGATTCAAACGCTATGGCTATTTGGATAGCCCTGACGACATGCCATGGCCCTGCTCATGCTTTTTCCCGAATTTGTTTCGCGCATTTCAGGTTTGGTGCCCGATTATATCTCTGTCCAAAAATGTTTGTGTGAAAAGGGCTTTTTCGAAGGTCTTCATAGGAAGAAGTAAACTGCGTGTATGTTGTCAAATTCAATGAAGCATATATTCACACACACACACATACACACACAACACACACACACACACACACACACACACACACACACACACACCACACACACAACACACACACACACACACACACACACACACACACCCACACACACCACACACCACACACACACACACACGCACGCACGCACGCACGCACGCACGCACGCACGCACGCACGCACGCACGCACGCACGCACGCACGCACGCACGCACACATTGTATATATATATATTATATATATATATATATATATATATATATATATATACATGCACACCTTTAAATGTATATATGTTGGGAATCTGCGTCCATCGCTACCAACAATTGGGAAATCAGGTAGTGTTCTCTTTATAATAGCTTTGGTTCCCTGCCTGAGGGTCATTAACCACTGATGGACTGGCAATCAATGTCACGAAATTGTCCAGTAGTTAATGAGTTTTTTTCATTTCTAACACTCTATTGGCTGACTACGTTGGTAATATGATGATATGGTATGTATGCCGATATGATAATCTTGCTACCTGATCCAGCTCATAAGATCTGAGAAAAGTTGTGCAGGATGAATTCAGCGAAAACGGACCCCTCTAAGACCGTGCGTCCTAAAGGGATGTTCGGCGTTTGAAGAGATTGAAGCTAGCATCAGATATGATGAAATAAGCGCAACTATTGGCATGCTTTAACCGGAGATGTTTGCTCAAGACAACGCAATTCCTCTGTTTAATAAACATGCTCCTCAATACGTCACTGTTCGATTACGTCATCGTACCTTGCACAACATTGATTGAGAGCCACTGTGCGGCCGTTATATCTGGAAATCGTGCTCACGAACACCAGATATGAGCAACTGAACAATATTATTTTCTAGGCCTTGGTCGCTACATCGCTAGAATGCTGCGGCAGGATTTCAATGACGTTATTATGGCGTTACGGATGCCTGGATGATCTTGAAATAGTCTGGACATCCTCAAGGGCGCGTAGTTCAGAAACTGGAAAAGCCTAGGTCTTACGAAGGGCAGGGCTGTGAACTGCACCGAGCGATCTTCAAGATGGCTAGTCCAGTTCAAAACCTTACACAAATGTAGAACATTCCCTTTAAATCCAAACATTCCACTCCCTATTAGGACTCACTGACGCCTGACAGCGGTGGAGTTAAGTGGCGAAAACTTTGCGTAAATACTGATACACCAGACGGGGGTTGTGATCCGAATTACATTCAAATTCATCGTGGTGAGGAAAAAGCTGCGCTGCATCCTAATGAGGGGGAGGGGGGACGAAAGTCCCATGCGTGGCTTTGGCCGCTCACAGAAAAGCTTATTGGAGAACAATGCATAAATCGTCAACATGCCATAGCGGCACAGAAGTGAATCCGGATGCGCTGCATGATCTTCAAGATGGCAATTTCGGTCCAAAGCCCTTCACAAATGTGGATTACCCCCTTTAATACTGCACGGTACACCACTGATTTCAGTCTCAAATTCCAATAAAATACAATAGGCTGCAAAATTTACTATATTTAGGTAAACATGCACTCGTCAGTGAGTTTGGGCAACCGAAGCACGGATGGGGGATTGATTATCGTCATTGTGCCGGAGAAACACGAAAGGGCTCACCTGTTGACGACATACAGGGCATTTCATTGGATTAAGCGGACTGCCATGGCCATAGTACGCGAAAAAGCAGTCGGCACAGAACAGGTGTGCACAGTTTGTTTCCACAACATGGCTAAGTCCGGCCAGACATATCGGGCAGGCTGAATCAGCGCTGTTGGCACTGGGCCACCGCCGTTGGCTGTCGGCGGACACGATTCTGTTGTTCCCTGCAAAAAGATATGAGACAAATCATCATCATCACCGTTATATACGTGCATGTCATTCGCCAAGCGGCCTTTCAGGTTAAGTATAACGTTACATGGGTACATCGCAGATCCACGGGTAAAGAACTAAACATCATAGCTTTGGCGACAGTGTACCGATACTTAATTCGAAATATGTAATGCAGAAATATGCAGCGCCATAGTCTGAGCCATAAAAAACATTACAGAATTAGAAGCATATTACGTGAACAGCACACCACATATTTAAGCGATAATGGGGTATGCCAGCCAGGAGACAATTTCTCCGGCACACCTCTGCATTCTACATCATCCGCTCACGCATCCGCACACAATTAGTTTAATCACAGACATGAACAAAGCGGCAAACATTTTTGTGGCTATCAATTAAAAGGTGTTCTCAGACGTAAGCAATCCAACCACTGGGAATAACCAGTAAGCACTTACCAATGTCTTAAAGTCCCAATGTGTAGTTATATGGCTTTGCAATAAAAACACTCGTTTCCATTTAAACCATGCTGAGCTTATCAGCACATAATTTCAATACCAGCTGACAATTTTGAAGTTATTGTGAGCGGCATAGATATAAAACTAGTCAGAACCAGCCATACCACTTGAACGAATCAGTATAAACTATTAAACTCACAAGATAGCACACGGGATTAACTAGAAGCTTAGTTTGCTGCCTGATGCAAGCAGTCTGAATTAATTTGGTTCACATGAAATTGAATCAAGGACTAGCCTGTTCCTTTATGACAATCTGGTACCAGAACCTACTCAAAGTTTGGCTATTTAAGGGGATGTTCCACATTCGAAGATATTGAAGAAAGCACCAGATGTTATGAAATAAGCCCACAGGTGACTACTAGTGTACTTTTGAATTGAAAGGATAGCTCTAGACAACACCATTTCTCTGTTTGGTAGATATCCTCATCGCCATTGCTTGATAACGTCATCGCACCATACACCACATCAACAGGCCAATTATTGAGAGCCAATTGACAGCCGTTGCATCTGGAAATCGTGCCGCAGAACGCCAGTTACAAACGACTCGACAATGATATTTTTTACCTTACTCGCCACATGGCTAATGGAAGGGCGAGATCTAAATAACGTTTTAAGGTGTTATGGGTGCCTGAGTGACCTTGAAATGGTCTCCCCGAAAGTTTACACGTCCTTCCGAGCGTGTAGTTCGGAGACTGGACATGCTTATGTCTTAAGAAGGACGGAGCTGTTAACTGCATCGAATGATCTTCAAGATAGCCGTTTTAGTTTATAACCCCATACCAATGTGGAACAATCCTTTAAGTGCTCTATAACATGCATTTATTGGTGGTTCATACGGTGCCAAGAGGCTCATGACCGAGAAGAGATGTGGTAATTATTGTGGGTCTACTTTTTCATGTAGCTCCTTATCCATAACGCGCAGCCTTGTAATAAATGCGGGATGCATTATACTAGCCCAGTGAAGCCGTTTGGAGTTAAAGCAAATTACAACTTGTCTGCTTGTTGCATAGTAACTTACGTGGCATGGCATCTGATGACGGTTGTACACATTTGTATTTGTTCAGTCACTTTCATAGCGGTCCGCACCACGGGCATCAGGGATATTATTAAGCAAGGAAGGCCATTGCTGTTCCTGGCTTGCACTACACCCATAAATACATCTATCGAAGATTTAGTCGCACTTGACTGTTTCAGTGCCAAATCCAGCCCTGGGTCACATTTAAATCTAACTAATCACCGTGTGCTGGTAATCATCGCTTTTTGGGGGGGGAGAATGCATTTTTCAATTATCATAGCCGGTGCAAGAGCAACGTAATCAGGTTTTGGTTGTGGAGCTTTCATCAAGTTTGGCAGACCCGCGTCCTGTTTATGCTGCTTGAGTAATGCAACCATATTCCTACCATTCAAAGTTTTTCGGCCTATAGGTAAAAACCTTCCTAAATAGCAAGTACTATTAACAATTACAAATATGGCACGTATGCGTCAAAAATGCACCTCAGAGATGAACAATGTATGTGTATATGTGACGTCGATCAACACTGCTGTTGTAGCCACAGTTATTAGCTGCGGAGTTAATGCAGGTGAAGTTGAGGTCTTGTGCTCCGGACGCGCACAGCCTAGAATACTTCACCTTTATGTTTCATTCGTGCTAATACTGTTATGTGTAAGGGTGCGGGCTAAATGCTGCTTAACAAGTTTTGTTATTTGTAACTTCTCACTTTAATTGGACGTGCCTTTTTGAATTCAGGCTCAACCACCTGAAATCGGCTGTACGGCCAGCTGCTATGTTGCTTCTGAAGGGTATTGACTATATCATATGCTGCATACTGCACTTGTTGCATGTCTTGGAATGCTGCATATCTTGCATTTAACTGATTTTTTCATTTTTTGGCCAAACATGCAAGTTGAAACTTGCAAATTCATTGTGGTATGAGCATGTCTGATCTTTTCAGGCATTGGGTGAAGGTCTAACATTGGATGTGGACAGAATTATGCTCCTGCAAGTTATTGCAGAAGAGGGCCATGTGGCAAGATTCTTTGAAGACACAAATTTAAGGTAATGTCAATATTAATGGTCTGAGTCAAGTAGTGTTTGTCAAGTGCAATTAGTTGCGATGGGATTAGATGTTAAACATTTCTCTTTGGCCTAGACCTATCCAGAGTGCTGGGACATGTTAATAGAATGTCTTATAGCATTTTAACTTTACCTATAAGCATGCAACTAATTGTTATCTGATAAAATGTTACTGCAATAATAACACCACCAGGTGGTGGCTGTATTGCACTGCACTGTGCTTGCATTGGGGCCAAACAATTGAATATTATTATGTTTCAAAGCTGAGACTCCAAACAGAAAGAGATGCCCTGTTTGGGACAAGACAGTATGATGCAAATTTCTAAATATTCGACTATAAACAATAGTTTGGTCAGCCACCCTCTTGGCTAGTAGCAGTTTTAGGACTTCCATGCTCTAATTCCATCATATTTGCTTATCTATTTCCTCGGCATGATGTCAGGGGACAGAGCCCATCACAGCATGCTAATTTTAGTTTCCTTGAATATTATCTCTCCAAAATGCAGTCTGTCAGCTGCATCCAGCTTAAATGATGGAATATTGTTGCTTTTACCTTTCTCTGCCTCTAGAAGTATTGATTGAAAGGCTGCTTTCCTAAAGTTGCACTACTCACATGTGACACATGTAGGGTTCATGTAGCAAAACTATGCAGACTTGTCATATCATAAGGAAACAACTTGTGATGACAAGAAAGGTACTAACTAAATCAGAAGGGGATCTGATCATTACATTAATATTTAAGTCAACATGTTGCTTTGACCAGCCAAGTGCCCTTACTACTGGCTTGGGTGAATGTGAACAAGCTACACTGAGTGATTGCCATCAGTTAATGTATGATGATTAAAATGCATTTGAAATGACCCATGTACTCCAAGAAGATCATGAGTTTAGATGATGTTGGTTATGTATGTTTTGCTGCTTATTGCTTCATCATATGCTGCAAATTTCAGTACTGTGACAGCAGTAATCTGCTTTACTTCAATGTGTGTTCAAAGCTGGGTGCATGAGCCATCAGTTGATGTACTCCACCCATAATCTGTACCATTTCAGACGCAAGCTCAGTGCTCTTCAGTCTGCACCCCAGCTCAAAGATGACGCTTTGGCAAAGTCTCAACGTGAGAGCGGGAACAAAAGCTTCCGCGCCGGCCGCTTCTGCGAGGCGCTGCGTCAGTACGGGGAGTGTGTGATGGGAGCTGCCAGTGCGGAGACGCTGAGCTGCGGCTTTGCAAACAGATCGGCCGCGCTCTTCCACCTGGAGCAGTTTGAGGTATGGCCTGTCTGTGTGATAATAGTTTGTTGGGACAAAATCACTTTCGAGTTTTCGGTTGATAATATGGGATTCATTGAAGTTTTGCGTTAGTGGATGCATTCAATTTTTTGCTTCGTTTTTTTTTTTACTCGCCGGCCTGTGACTGCAATAGTTTTTCTTATTTTCAACGCCAGGAAATGGCCCATAACGTTGTTAAAGTAAAGGTGGCTGGGCCCACTGGGATAATCATCTAAGGGGCGACTTTTTGACTCATAAGCTCAAAGTCCATCTAGACATTACTCTATTTCAGGACAGCCTGCGTGACATGGAGAGCGCGTTAGCGGCCGGCTACGCGTCTGAGCGGCACCACAAGCTGCACGTGCGCCGCGCGCGCTGCCACCTGGCTCTGGGCCGGCCTGACAGCGCCCGCTCGGCGCTGGTGCAGTACAGGGCAGCCGTCCACGATCTGCACCTGGGAGACACTGTGAGAGGTCAGTGACCTCGCCCTGGTCAGTGCCACGGACGGCCGTAGACGGTCTGTACCTGGGAGACACAGCTGGAGGGCGGTGACCCCTCCCCAGTCAGAACAGGGTGGCTGCGGATGATCCGGGGTTCAGAGGCGCTGTCAGAGAGGTCTGCTCAAATAAGCCGCCAGTCGGAGGTGCCTTATGCAAGACGATTTCGTATGGGTTTTGGGACATGGCTGGCGCGGCCTTCGGCTCTTGGCTAGAGCTCAGTATTCTGACTTACGGGATTCGGATAAATTAAAATCTTTTCAATCCTCGAATCCCAAAACCAGGATTAGAACGCTAAGAATCAGGATTCCAGTCCTAAAAACTGCGCGGAGTTCTGATAGCCATCGTTTACATATGAAATTGCACGCTCGAAGTAAGATGCGATTTCACTTAAGATCAAGCAAATGCAACATGTATGTTTTTGCCCTGTTTCGAACTTGCACGCCGTTCCCATTTTAGTATTGCTGATTGAATAATCGGTCGGGCAATCATTCTTGTGTGGTGTATTGACATGTACGCAGCGTTGATCTTTTGTGGTGGTACATGCTCTCGTTATTACAATGCATTAGGTTATGCGTCCTGTGCATTGGTTTAAACCTGTCCAAATGCCGCCAGGGAAGATTCTGAGCGAGGCGGACGCCTTGGAGGCGGCCATCTGCCGGACGGCGGCCGCGGAGCCGCATCCCGAGGACCCGGACGAGCCGCCCGGCCGGCCGGCGGTGGCCGCCAACGCGTCGCTGTCGGGCGCCGATGACTGCGTCGAGCTGAGGTGTGCTGGGACCGTCCCCGTCAGACTGTGTGGGAGTCGGGGCCGGTCAGGTGGCGCTAGTGTGAGTCACAGTGAGATGCAACTGCGGTAAACTTTGGTTCTTGTCTGTTTTTGTTTGCCTGCGTCCAGGAGGCTGCGTACCAGTCTCAGTTTCAGGTGGGTAACAAAATACTGCAAAACCTAGCATATCAGAGCCTCTCCAGAAAGGCTTCATCACTACTCAGCTGGTACGCGGCGCAGACGACTGTTGAATGAGCGTCATCATGGGCTCTGTGATGCGTTTATTCAACCTTATCCTGCCGTCATGCGTCAAGATGCCGTCAAGTGTCGATGTTTCGACGGAACTGGGAGAGTGCACTTCGCGGTTCACCAAGTAGCACGTCGATTTGGACGTTGGCGCTTAAGTGGCATGGCTGCCCTTGACATTCGTCACCGTCGCTGCAGGCAGACCGAGAAGAAGGGCCGTCATATTGTGACGTCACGGATGGTTCCGAAGGGGTCCGTGCTGTTTGTGGAGGAGCCGTACATCTGTGTGTTATTGCCCACACGCCGTCTCGACCATTGCCACCACTGCATCAAGCAAACGCATGCCCTTGTACCGTGAGTATTCCGTCTGTCTTGTCTTGCTCACTTTTCGGGCTTAAATTCCATTTGCGCTCTAGCCATAGAGCAATGGGACACCTACTTGAGCTCGCGTCATGCCCGACTGGAGCCCCCTCCAGTCGGAGGTCATGAGTGGTTTGGTGCATATCGTTTTTGAGTATTTCTGCTCGGGCTGGTGGTTGCCGTGTCCTGGAAGCCTTTGTGCCCGGCATGGCTGTACGGCGGTCGCGAACTCTGCGCCCTGGCCGCAGGTGTTCCCGCTGTCGGGACGTGGGCTTCTGCAGCGCCGCCTGCCGGAGCGCCGCTGACGCCATCTACCACGCGGCCGAGTGCGGACACGCCAGCTTCCTGGAGGCGTTCGGCATCGGGCGGGCGGCGGTGCGCATGGCGCTGACGGCCGGCTGGCGCCGCCTGGCGCGGCTGCGGCGCCAGCTGCGCCAGGCGCCAGCCGCCGCGGAGCCGCCCGTCCGCGCTGCGAACGGCCGCCTCTCGGGCGACGGGCCCGAGCCGCCCCTCGAGGCTGCCGTGGGGGCGGTAACACTGAGTGAGGACGGGGCGGGCAGCGTGGCAGGGACGTGTGACGTGATGCGCTGCGGCTGCTCCCGACCGGACGGCGATCGGTACCTGGCGGTGTTTCACCTGATGCACCACCTGCGGGAGTGCGACGAAGAGAGCGCCTACCACTACTCGCGGGTAGGTACAGGGAGGGATCTGTGGCCGTTTTCGGGTATGCTTGTTGGTCCGTATCATATCTGGATGAGCAATTTGACCACGCAGTGCTCGCAGTACCTGGATTATTAAAGCAGATGAACGAAAGTGTATCGTTCCCAAATGTGTGTTGCTGGTGAGCGAGCAATCACAGTTGTCTCTTACTTCCTCCCCGCCTCAGTTTTGTCAGTTTCTTAATTTCGTACCCCCTTAGCCATACAAATGACTCTAAAAAGTCTTATTCTTCCTCGCTGTAATCCGAACTCCTCGCAGGCAGCCGCCACTCTGGCGGCATTCTTGGCCGAGAAGACGGCGTTTTTCGGCGAAGATAGTCCGCCATCACAGCTCGACATGTGTTGGACTGCCGCCATCCTGCTGCGCCACGTTCTCCAGCTGGTGTGTAACGCGCATGCGCCGACCAAGCTGATCCCGGTGCCGACCGAAGGCAGCGTGGCGCAGCTGAGCGAGGAGCGCATCGCCACGGCCATCTATCCGTCCGCCAGCTACATGAACCACGCCTGTGATCCGTCCATTATAAACAGGTGGGTGGCGGGGCGTGCTGAGGTGCTCTGCGTTTGTGCTCGAGCCCACAACGTGGTTATGCTGTTAGCATGGGGAAAGAAGCATTTCAGCTTGTTGGCACTTCTAGTTGACGCAATTGTGGCGTGAAGAAAAGACGCGTGCAGAAATCAGGTGAAGTTAAGACAGATGGATATTAAATTTTTACCATGCATTTCTGTCGGTGTTTCTCCAAGTACTTCGTGCACCATTCCGCACTGGTGCCTTGTTGTTGATTGGAGTTTTAGGGCGCGCCCACTACTGTAGTCGTTTTGCGCCCAACAACATGCGCATTGATGCCTTGCTGCATGGCCTCGTGAGCATATCTGTTTCATGCTGCCCGTAACGTTGTTGTTCTTATTTGCCTCATGCGCCATGTAAAAGTACATTCGCCGCCCCGACCACTTTGCCCTGTGACCGGTTGCCGTCGTCCCCGCCGGCAAAACGGAGGTGAACGGGAAATGTGCGTGTTGTGTGGACCACAGATACTCCTGTATACATATACAGATACAGATACAGATCTCCGTACTCCTGGCGCGCTGACGCTGAGTAATTTCATGCTGCCCTTGCTTGATGACGTCATCTCAGGATGGTCACTGGATGTCTCGACTGCGCAGTTTCTGGGAGCGCACCCTGATCGTACGGAACGTGAAGCCACTGCGGGCCGGCGAAGAAGTGTTCCATTGCTACGGTACGTAACACGCGGTCTGCTGAATTTTGAGCGGACTCGGCTGCAGATTGCTTATTCCTCTGCTCGTTACTCGTTGAATCCGTTCTGTAAGTCACTTGTTCAGTCAATGCATTTAGACGGCTTTGTGCATTAACAGTGGTGAACATCGTGGTATTCGTTTTGCACAATATGCATTGTATTTTCAAGGGACCTGTTCAAAGGGATGTGGTATACCAAAGAAGCTTTCTAAGATTATTTGTCCTGGAGTGGGCAGAACATAATGATTTCGAAATGTGTTTTCCAATTCAAGTGGAATCCCGCACATCGCAGTTATTATGGCCACTCGTGTTCAGCCGTAACGCTATGGACTACAACGCCGCCGTGATGGGAGCATCGCCACGCGGCTTTTTCCAATGAGGATGATCGTTACTATGAAAGGTTTACCAAACAATTGAGGTAAAAAAAAAAATGTTTGGCATAAAGAAAGTGCCTGTAAATCAAGGGAATGTGCCGCAAGTATTTATATCTTGATCTAAAAAATGTCCTATTGGATAACGCAGTCCTTTTTTAAACAGCATACTCTCAGTGTTGCGATCTAGCTCACCTTACTAACTCAAAGCATGCGTGTCTGCTCCGCCGATTCTGTGTTGTGAGGCTGAGCGTGACGCACTGGCGGCAGCTGTCACGTGGCCTCGTGACGCGTCACGTCACCCCGCGTACCCACTTAACATCTCCCGCCAGCCGGCGACTCCCCGACCGGGACGTGACGTGACGCCCGTGATGACGTGACGCCCGTGACGCCGTTCCGCAGGGCCGCACCACGCCCGCGCTCCGCCAGACGTCCGGCGCCGGGAGCTGCAGGAGCAGTACCACTTCACCTGCCCGTGCCGCCACTGCACGCGGCCAGAGCTGCGCAGACGGTTGGTGCGTCCGCGGCCGCCGCCTCGCTCGACCGGTCCGACTGACGGCCCGACGGTCGGGCTGACAGTCAGCTGACCCAGCTGTTGGTGCGACGTTTGTGCTGACAGGTGGTCAGACTGATATTGACTGATATTCCGACAGTTGGTCAGACTGATGTTCCGACTGTTGGTCGACGGATATTCCGACAGCTAGGATAGACTGATATTGCGTCAGTTGCCCGGACTGATATTCCAACAGTTGGTCAGACTGATATTCTGACGTTGGTCAGGCTGATATTCTGACTTTGGTCAGACTGATATTCCAACAGTTGGTCAAACTGATATGCCGACAGTCGGTCAGACTGATATTCCTACATTTGGTCAGGCTGATGTTCCGACAGTTGGTCTTAAAGATATTCAGACAGTTGGCCAGGCTGATATTCCGACAGTTGGTCCGACAGCTGACCGTACAGACCGTTTGATGGCCGTCCGGTAGTCCGTCCCACAGTCCGCAGGGCAAGCGGTCTGACATTAAGTGCACATGACTGTTGGCCAATCATTTACATGGCCCTCCGTTTCCTCTCTTTTTCCCAATGAGCGAGACATTTGGCTCAGCACATTGGCCCTACCACGCTACCTAACTCGAACAATGCAGTTTGTCGTGCATTTCCCCCGCTTTCTGGAGATAGACCGCACGCCCATGTAAGTGCGGGCGGTCGCGTGAACATTATCGGCGGTACCGTGTGGGCGTTGAACAGTCCCCCAGCCACCCTGCGATGACTCGGCCCATACTTATTGCAAAAGATCCGTCAATTTTTGACTTGTAAACAGTAATCTGTAGGCATGACCCGCCATCCATTTTGCTGTTGAACTTATCACGTGTACAAGATAGGTCTCCATTTTATGACGCGTGTCCAACGCCAAGTGATCTACCTGCCAGAACCTGAATTTTATCCCTGCTGGTAGCATCCTCGACGTTGAATACGGTATGCGTCGTCACCGCGCGACGCGGACAGCGCTGGCGCTGATGCGGTACAAATGACATTGGGGCCTTTGAAAATGTTACCATGAGAGGCTGACAAAGGATGCATCGTTTGTAGATTTCCCTCGTCCTTATCGATGTATATAAAGCTAAGCATATCGATGTACATAATGTATACATTGATTATCGATGTATATAAAGCTAAGTCGCAGTTATGTGGAAGTACCTTGAGGACGATTCGCTGGCATGGGACAGCTGGTCTGGTGGCCGCAGCGACCATTTAGGTGAACCACGAGGGAGGCATTTGTTATTTTGTTTGCCCCACGGATGCATCTGGCGCGTGACCGCGCACGGTAAGTTTCTGCGCGTCACGATGATGGCGGATCGGGAATGTCATGGTCATGTTGAACTGTACATACTTCTTGGTGCTTTTTGAGGCACACCGTCCAGTTGCATTCAGTTTATGAACAACCAGATAATAATATGAAAAAAACAAAAACAGGGTGAGTCAAAAGCAAGATAGATCTGCTTTTCATGGACTCGTACCGTGGACGCAGTGGTCATCAAAGCACGTTGCTTAGTTGGTTGGGCCACTTGCCTTCCATTCCACCAACCCGTGGCAGTAAGAGGCCAAACTCGTTTGAGTTGCTCGACATTTGCCCCCGCCTGGGAAGGCTTGCTGCCGGTGGTAGCGGCCGCGCTTAAGGTCAGGTGACGCCAGCTGACAGCATGCATCGCGTCAGGCTTTGCGGCACGTCAAGTTTTCGCCACAAATGCTGCCGGTGACCGGGAGTTTCAGGATCGGATTGGGGGGGGGGGGGGGGGTGATGGCTGACGCAACAAGCACTGCTGGCGTGGCCGCAGATCCCATAAAAAGGTACAACCAAAAGGTCAGACCGAATCATAACAAACGTGAAATTTACATGTTGTAAATGCTTACATCCGACGATGTGAGTAGCTGGGCCCTGCGATCATGCCTTTGTCCCCTATTGTACGTCTGATCCAGTGGACTGACCTCCGACAGACAGCGGGGGCTGCGACAGACGTAAACCAGACGGCAGTCCTGCGATCATGCCCGTGTCCCCTGTTGTACGTCTGGTCCAGTGGACTGACCTCCGACCTCCTCGCTGCGCTGCCTGGGCTGTGATGACGTCGCTCTGCCACCGGCAGAAGAAGCTGAGCTCGCTGCGCTGTCTGGACCGTGGTGACGTCACTCTGCTGTCGGCAGGAGGAGCTGAGCTCGCTGCGCTGCCTGGAATGTGGTGGCGTCACTCTGCCGTCGGCGGCGGGAGGTCAGCCGCGTCTCTGCGTCAGCTGCGGCTACTCGGCCCACTATGGGGCCCGGGAGGCCCGGCTGCAGCAGATCCAGGCAGAGGCGCTCGACGGTAAGCACGGACGCGTGCCGTGAGATGTTGCCTGTGTGTGGACGTTCAGGCAGCACGGTGCTGGATGGAGGCTGTGGAATATCCTGGTTGAGATTAGTTGGACAAGAGTCAACCGTTAGTTCATAGTCTCTGAGACAAAAAGCTAATGAAGACGTCTATTACTGCGGTGTAAAATATAGAAACAGGTTAAGATATTCAATTTTGGTTCGTCTTGGTAAGTTTAGTTTTGACGACAAATTTGTAAATTAAGCTTTACAAGGTCCAAGTGTGTTCACCGCTTAGTGTTGGGACACCGATCGTTTTGTTTAGTTGACATTACGTAGCGCGCGTGGTTTAGGCAGCAGAGCCAGCAGGTTGTACCTTTGTTTGGAATAGGTTCTTCATTGCAGTTTTGAGGACACATATTTTTACCTTATTCGAAACAAGAGAAAAAGTAACAGTAAATTAGTTCAGTCAATGCTCATAGGCCGTGGCACTCGTCTCCCAACGTCACAAAAAAACACCTGCAAATTCAAAAGTGCCTGGCTTATCGAATGTGACCGGGCACGTCAGGTGGTCTGCCGTGCGGCCTGGTGGACCTGCGTTCTGACCTCACGCCTGGCGTGTGGTGACCGCTGGCACCGATGTCTGCTGTGACCAGCGTGTGATACACGGCCCGAGGCGGCCCCGGCCGTGTGCTGGCTCGTCCGGCGTTCACCTCGTCTCCGATGTGTGCAGTGTGTGACGCGGCGGCCTCGGCCGGTTCTGCCGATCGAAGTCGTACTGCCCTGCGGCGGCTGGACGCCCTCCTGAGTGAGGCCCAGGGGCTGGCCAGCGCCACACACGAGGCGCTCCACGCCCTGCACGACCAGCGGGCCCGGCTCTGCACGCAGCTCGGTACGCCAGGAGCTCCGCCAGATGGCGCGGATGCCGACGCCTCGTACGCCTTTGTCTTTAGAGACCGCCGAAACGGCTAGGCTGTGCTCCCGCATGCTTGGTGCCTTTCTGCAACAAGTGCTTGGAGCCTTCCCTTATCTGGTTGGTGCTTGAGACAGAGAGAGAATAGGGTTGGTGCTCTGTGGGTATGTAGCCGCCTGTTCTGAGAAGAATGCTCAGCAGTAGCGCTCCCCGCCCCGCTCGGGCCCCATCGGGTTCCCGACCTCCGACAACCCCGTGCGATCTCACCGCCCCCCCCCCCCCCCCCCACTCCCCTCCTCTCCCCAGGAGAGCCGGACCGGGCGCTGGACAGTCTGCGTCGGAACGTGTCCAGCGTGGAGGCGCGGTACGGCACCGACAGTGTGGAGCTGGGTAACCTGCTGCTGACTGTCACCGACCTGCTGATGGCGGCCTGGCGGGTGGCCGACACCGGGACGGCGCGGAGGTGAGACCAGACACACCGGGAGGCACGGGAGGAAGCAGTGTGGAGAGGAGACTAAATACCCCGGAGAGGCACGGGAGACGATGCGGTGGTGAGACGAGACACGCCAGGGAGGCATGCGAGACGGCGCGGAGGTGAGACCAGGCACACCGGGGAGGCACAGGACACGGTGCGGTGATGAGACGAGACCCACCTGGGAGGCACGAGAGACTGTGTGGGGAGTAGGGAGACCAGACACCTCGGGGAGGTCCGGGAGACAGTACAGAGGTGAGACGAGACACACCGGGAGGCACGAAAGATAATATGGAGGGGAGACTTGACACCCCAGGAAGGCAAGGGAAACGGTGCCGAGGTGAGACGGGCATCCCGGGAAGCCCCCAGAGCGTCACAGACTCGCCGCGCAATTGAACGTGTCGACTGTGGTGACGAGGCAAAGTATCCGGCTTCACCAGGTGGTGGGGTTAGCGGGGTAGAATACCCGGCTTTACCGGGCGGGGGGGGGGGGGGAGGTTGACGGGCAGAGTACTCGGCTTCACCGGGCAGTGGGGTTGGCGAGGCAGAATACTCGGCTTCACCGGGCGGTGGGGTTGGCGAGGCAGGATAGCCGGGTTCGCCGGGCGGGGGAGAGGGGGAGTGTTGGCGAGGAAGAATAGCTGGCTTCACTGGGCGTCAGGGTGTGCGAGGCAAACATCCGACTTCACGGACAGTGGGGTTGGCGAGGCAGAATAAGCGCCTTCACCGGTCGTAAGGGTTGGCGAGGCAAAATAGTCGGCTTCCCCGGGCGTTGGGATGGTGACGCGGTCATCATACAGTTGTAGATCAAACTACACATCAGTCGCATCCAGATATTTTCATTTTTGCGGGTACCAATTATGCGGGAACCTCTCAGGTCCGACTCAGTTGATGGCAGATCATATAATTACAAGCGTGCAACACGAAAATTAGACCTACAATCACACCCGTACGCACAGAAGCACGCTAACCTGACATGCAGTTTAACCCATTATTTTACGACCATCTTGGTAAAGCAACCTCATTGGATAGCAGTTGGAGGAGGTGTTTGCAGAACACTTTCATTCTTTCTTCCAGAAGAAAATGCCTCGTTTTTGCATTATCATCTACGTTTTGCAGGAACTTGCAATGAACCATACACGTTGCCCTGTCCCTTGCGTGACGGCGCGCCTCAGCCTTAGCCTCGGCCTCAGCCTCAGCATCGGCCTCGGCCTCAACCTCATCCTCATCCTCATCCTCATCCTCATCCTCAGCCTCAGCCTCAGCCTCAGCCTCAGCCTCAGCCTCAGCCTCAGCCGCAGCCTCAGCCTCAGCCTCAGCCTCAGCCTCAGCCTCAGCCTCAGCCTCAGCCTCAGCCTCAGCCTCAGCCTCAGCCTCAGCCTCAGCCTCGGCCTCGCCACCGGCACCGGCACCGGCCTTACCCTCAGTCTCAGTCTCGGCCTCAGCCTCAGCCTCAGCCTCAGCCTCAGCGTCAGTTTTAGCATCAGTCGCAGCATAAGACGCGCTGAAGAAATTTGCCTATGGAGGACGCCCACCTGCTCTTGACCTTCGTTCGATTGCTGTAAGTTTTGTAATCAACATAGTTGTCCGCCTGTCAGGAGTCGACCATTTCCTACACGAGATGAAGTCCAGAGATTGCCAGGAGATGGCATGCGCCTGTCCTGAAGGGGCTGGCTGTCCGAGATCCTTCGCCTGCGGCACTGTCGGAAGGCTTGCGATGTCTCGCCTCTCTACGAAGGGAGGGGGGGGGGGGGGCTGCCTCGGCTGTGCGGTCTGGCCTCGCCGCCGTGACCTGTGAACTCTCGGAGTGTTAAAAATCTCATTATTTGCGGGGCAATTTCGTGACATTTATCGCCAGTCCACCAGCCGTTAATGACTCAGACAGGGAAGCAAAGCTATTGTTAAGAAGACACTATATGATTTCCCAATTATTGGCGGCATTGGGTGTCGGTGCCCAACTTATATGCATTTAGAGGTAAGTATATATATATATATATATATATATATATATATATATATATATATGTGTGTGTGTGTGTGTGTGTGTGTATATATCGGCCCAGTTGACCCCTGCCGGGGCAGTCTGATGAGGCCAGGCTTGTGACGGGTATGGCGAGGTCACTGCGTCACCCGCTACTGTGCACGCCCCGGAGGTGAACGCCGTCTGTCTCAATGACGGCGCGGTTAGCTCATGGTCATGGTTTTCCGTGGTGTCTGGATATTCTCACTGTCATGTCGGTCCGCCTGCGAGACTGAAATGTCACGGGGGTCTTGCCACCGTTGACATGGCAACATTGTGGAACACGTTGTATAGTATCTACGAGCATATGACGTCCGCCCGCGTGAAAACAATGATGCAGATGATGAGGCAAGCTAAAGAAGTCATACCATGGTATGCTTCATTCTGAAGAAAAATGTCTATTTTTGTAATTTACAACACCTTGACCACCACTTTCCGTGTAACATCCTGCCTGCTATTGGGCCTGATCTCGGGGCATGGCGGTGCGACGTTCCTTGCCGACTTGCGATGGTGTTGTTACGTTTAAGGGTTGTTTTTTTGTCAGCGCCTTTCACCTTTAGTTCACCTTTACAAAGTTTGCAATGCCTGACAGCTTGCATCATCGCTCGGTTAAATCGGCTGACTCACCTGTATGTGTCTGGGTCTGCCTGAACTCTGTACCGGGTTACAGCCAGGGCTGTTATTGACCAACGAGCGCGTAGTGTTTAACACATTGGTGAGAGAGAGAGAGAGAGAGAGAGAGAGAGAGAGAGAGAGAGAGAGGAGAGAGAGAGAGAGAGAGGAGAGAGAGAGAGAGGAGAGAGAGAGAGAGAGAGAGAGAGAGAGGAGAGAGAGAGAGAGAGAGAGAGAGAGAGAGAGAGAGAGAGAGAGAGAGAGAGAGAGAGAGAGAGAGAGAGAGAGAGAGAGAGAGAGAGAGAGAGAGAGAGGAGAGAGAGAGAGAGGAGATTGGTGGACTTGGACCGTTGCTTTACGAACGGGTTTGCCCCGGATGCTGGTTTGCTTTGCGGCGGCGTAGGAAAACTGCAGGAAATTTGAAAATGTTTTACCGAGCTTTGAGAAATCGACGTAGGAGTGTTCTCATGCGCTCAGAATGGTGCAAGCTGGCAATGCGAGTCTGTGGTGTGAATGACGCATTCCGAAAGTGCTTACACTATCATACGGTTCACTGGCTCATGACAGTGTACCGACAGTGCAGTGATTAAGCTGCGCGTCTGAGAAACCAAAGGGACGCGTTTCATGTGTTGAAGGCTTCTTATGCTGCGTTAACGACCTTGAATATTCCAGTGGGCACCGGTTAAATGACGTGGTAATGCCAAATAGCGATTGTCTTGACGGTACTCAGCAACTCGAGCGGTGCTCGTGCGCGCCTTAGTGTTGATGCATTGATGATTACTTCGAAAAGATGGTTGCTCTATTGGCCATCTTTGCTGTTCAGTACAGTATTCCTCATTTGCTATGAAATACGACTCTATGTCCACCCAGCACCTGCACCCTTGAGTTACACAACATTTGGTTGGCACGGTCCTTGACTGGCCAGTCACATGCCATCTATTCTTCAGGTATTCACATTCTATGAAATGTACTCCACTGAAAACACCTTTTTTAGGCTTAAAATCCCTGCGTTTCAACCCCGTATGTATAATGCAGACCAATCGGTGTAAGCAATGTTCTTGACGTCTCTTTTGCGATGTCAAATGACAGACTGCCTGGAATTCAGGACGAGGGCAGCCGCATTTCATCTGTCACAATGAAAAAGTTAACGTCAGTCTTGGGTCTAATCCCATCTCTACAATAGCCCACAGTACCGTTTGTCACTTCTCGTTGCACACATCCTTGTAGTTCAATAACCGCCACCTGCGTTGAATCAGGCGAACTCTTACGGATGAACACACCCCCGCTACGTACCGTGGCTGCGCGCTGCTCAACGCCCCGTTTTCCGTTGCAGCAACGCGTCGCGGGAGCTGCGGAAGACAGCCGAGCGTGGCCTGGCTATCTTCTCCATTCACTACGGCTCGTGGAGCGGGGCGTACCAGGACCTGCGGCGGAAGCTGCTGACGGTGTCCCTCGCCGCCGGCCCGCCGTCCCCCTCCCAGTGAGTCCACCCGAGGCGGCGGCGCTGCGGTGTACCTCGCCGCCGGCCCGCCGTCCCCCTCCCAGTGAGTCCACCCGAGGCGGCGGCGCTGCGGTGTACCTCGCCGCCGGCTCGCTGACCCCCTCCCAGTGAGTCCACCCGAGGCGGCGGCGCTGCGGTGTACCTCGCCGCCGACCTGCTGACCCCCTCCCAGTGAGTCCACCCGAGGCGGCGGCGCTGTGGTGTACCTCGCCGCCGGCCCGCCGTCCCCCTCCCAGTGAGTCCACCGTGAGGAGGCTTCGCGGCGGTGGACCCTCAGCCGTGCTGAAAGTCCAGTCAGGAACACGCACCGATTTCAGTGATGCGGAGGGTGCCAGAGGCCGGGCTCGACTGCTGCGAGCCAAGCAGATCTCGGCTGTGACGTGTTCAGAAGCTCTCGCCGGTAAGGCGGCCGGCAGCTGGTAACTCCATCCCTCCGCCGCTGTGTAAAGCTGCCGCGCTGCGGACAGCGCGACGGTACTCCTGTCCCCTCCCCCCCCCCCTTCCAGGATAGAGACAGGCAAACGGACGGAGGCTGATGTTAGAAGCTGTGTGTGTGGATGGGGTTCGAATACACTGCAGGACAACAGCGCGGAAGCGGCCACGAAAGGAGAAGCATGTAGTCGGATAGCTGAGCTGTTGAAAGAGACGCTTTTTGTAGCAATAGTATTCGCAACAGCAAGAATCGCGAGTTCTGATTTGAACATGGGTCTTTCTCCGTAGCTCGATATCTAGTACGCGCAGTAATGAGTGAGATGGGTTATTTTCTAAGCTGCGGAACATAAGAGGGCGTTTGTTATCTGAGTGCGCCTTGTGTTGATTGGTAATACAGCGTCGAGCAAAGTTGAGTATGGTGTGACGATTTCGCGTGTTGCCGCGAAATGATGGGCACAGGCCCTGGCGGACGTGCCTTGATGGAGCTAGAATAAGTCATCAACCACATCAAGCACTTTATTCATCAGCATGTTAATCGATACAATCAGTTCGGAAGCATGAGCTTTCCGGATTAAATGTTTGCTGGCTGTCATTATTTTTCGCGTTCAAAGCAACACTGAACAACGCGACAGAAACTGGTTCTCGATGTGTTCTGATCAGCTATAACCTTCGCGTGTCATTTAGCCGCACGGGCATCAGCCTCGCGTCCGTGGGGCACATCGTGGGCTGACTTTGGACGTCACAGTACGACAGTGCTCGGAATAAGACAAAATGAAGTAAGGCCACGACAGACCGAAGGGTGCACGCAGCACGCCACCATCCACGTCACTGCGGTCAGTTCTGGGGCGCCGACACGCTGTCTAAACCACCGAAAACCACGCCGCACCCGTTCAGATCTCAACACCGAACAACATCTGGGAGGCGTCGTCGGGATCGGTCAGGCCCGTCGTGTGTGGGCAGGCAGCGCACGGCCTCACGGACACTTGACATACGGGCAGCAGTGTGGGTGCTTCAGTTCGCGGCTCTTGGGCGGGGTCACCACGCGACAGCCCTTTACGTAGACGATGAAGCCACACCTGCGAAACACAAGTGTGTCGGTTGTCCTGATCTTCGCTTCGCTTCGCTGTGCTTCAGTTCGCGGCTCTTGGGCGGGGTCACCACGCGACAGCCCTTTACGTAGACGATGAGGCCACACCTGCGAAACACAAGTGTGTCGGTTGTCCTGATCACCGGTAGCTGATGGCCTGGCCTGTGAGGGCCGCAGATTTAACCAGACCGTACGAGCTTCTCCAGTCGTGCCCTTCGAAAAGTACGATTTAATTGCGTCGGCGACCGTTCACCTGGCCGTCTTTTTAGTGCTTATCTGGCCGTAAGCGCTTGCGGTCTTTTTAGTACTTTCCTGACTGTAAGCGCTTGCGGTCTTTTTGGTACTTAGCTGACCGTAAGCGCTTGCGGTCTTTTGCTATTTTTATATTTGAGGGCTGCCAAATAACAGTCTGTAAGTACGTGACAGATGTCAAGGCTAGCTCATGTAGTCGGCAGGCGGTGCCACGATGATTTCCACCATCTCGCTTCAGAACTCGGGCATGCATTTTGGTACTGTCACTGTCATCCCACGCCCATGTTCCGGCAACAGCAAAAACAAAAAAAAGCAAGCAAAAGCTGAAACCTCGGTGGGATGAGTTTTATTTCTAGCCATGTTTTCTGTTGTGAAATTATTAAACCACGCGCATCTACGTCTCGACGACCTGTGGGGTTCGCAATAATGTCGGCAGGGCCAAAATGCGTACGCGTCCCCACGTACCCGATGTGAATAATGAGGGTGCCTCCTTTGCAGATGCCTTTCTCGCACTTGCTATCTTCATACCACGACGAACCGCTTGCGAAAAACCTCTTCTTTGTGGAAACCCAACACTCATTCTTATGGCCGGCAACATACAGACGATGTGAATAACGAGGCATCTGCATACGCTTAGAGCGGGAACTAACATACCAACATAGGTGACAAAAGCAGCTCATACACGAGAGTTACCGGCCAATTCACTCCAGTCGGTCCCTAGTCGTTAATGTTCGGTTATGGTTAGAACAACAGCGACCTGAGCTCTTGGCACATAACTTTAAAGCGCAACGAGAGCATCGTGCGTGAAAAACCAGGCTATTTGGTGCCGAGAATTTTTTTGTTGCTCCTTGTCATGAAACCTTTGCCTTTTGGTGCGCCACGACAGATTTGATCTTGCAGTTCCAAAAAATACCCATCATATGTTAGGCCAAACTTCACTGACTTCGCCAAATTCCCAGAAGCCCATTGCGTTAAACTGATATAGCAGCACCTATTACACGATTAAAGTTCACACAATCTACTGCATTTCTGAAAATATTAAACCCAGTTCCGATACTTAAATAGATAGTTACCAGTTGAACCCAGATCAGATGCCGCCAATCTCGTCAACATTTGAAACGTTGACACGGGCGGGTGTTTCAGTTTCCACGACCTCCTCATTTAACTGTTATAAACTTTGGTCTACTCCTTGTTCAAAAGCGGGATGTCCTCAGGTCGGGTAAAGCACGCTAGTTCTGCCCCAGTATTGATAGTACATGTAGATGCGATAATGTTTTTGTGTATGTAAAGCAACGAGGCGATGACTTCAAAACATTGCCTTCATTCCTCGTTTTCAATTGGCATGGCTCACTTGCTGTGAAAAATACAAAAACAACGAAACTAAGTAACGAAAGACCATCTTTAACTGTCGCCTGCCATAATGTGACCACCAACCTGCAACAGCAGCTCACCAACGACAGAACCATACGTTAGCAAAACAGAAACAGAATATTAACAAACCGCTGCACTCCCAGCCCAGAAACAAGGGGAGAAAATACAAAACTGAGCAAAAAACCTGTCTCTTGTTATTAATCCAAGCTTAAGTATAGCAATTGAATCTCAGCGCAAAAATGATACGTGTAAAAGCAGCCAGCTTTGATCTCACAGTTTTCTTATCTGATCGCCCTGAAATATTCACCATTCGGTACAGCACAGCTGATTTTGCACTGCAGCACAAAAATAGCACACCCGGATCAGGTTAAAGATGATTAAATTCTTTAAATTTCCCAATATGTGTACGCAGACAAGTCAGCTTCTAGAGCCCATTCAGCTTCTAGAGCCCAGTTAGCTGGCTACAATCAATGCCATGAGTTTATAGACAAGCGTGACGCCAGACTCTTCCTTCTCTTCTTACATACTTTTTAAAACTTATCAAAAACATCTTATCAGCTTATTGAAAACAAATATCAAGTTATAAAAAACATCTAGTTGCATCTCTGACGCAGGAGTAACATACAAACTCCCATATCCTTGTAGCGTCTCTTCTCACAGGCCTGCGGTACTTACTGAGTTTACTTACGGTCCTTACAAAGGTTGCAGGGTTTATATGCCTCTACATGGTTCAAGAGGGATAATTCCGGAATGAAGTAGCCCTCAAAGACCGCCTTGCCCTTCACATCATCGATGCAAACAATAGTGGGGCAAACGGCATCCGACGCCGCCAACCAACGCACATTGCTGATTGCCAGGTCATATATTTTCCTATAATTTGGGTGCACTAAAGGCATGAGCTGAAGAAATTTATATAAAGGGTTTCCCATAGCTCACGCGCGCTTGGGTGTGTGGTCAAATTGACGCTTCCACACCCGAAGGTTTTTCTGGAATGATTGCCAAACGGCACACCGTAGACGCGCCAAAGTTTGCATTGCTGTAGACAATGGAATAGCGGATCGTTTGGTGTCAAACATTCAGATGTACCTTGTAAGACCGCTGACCTGCGGCAGGTCAAAGTCAGGCCATGGATTCAGCGAAGGCAATTTCTAGGGGATCGTTCAATCTGATCCAACAACGGAGTGACAGACAAGATCAGACATCTCTGAGATACTTTCTTAGGCGACACAACAATTGAATGACCAAATTTCATTACCCCAGGGTCAGGTATGAAGGTCAAACCAAGGTCAAAGTCAACCTGCTTTACTACTCTAGGGCTTGCTGCATGATAATGTTTCTGGTATTTATTTACAATTTATGGGTAACAAAACCGCATTACATTCTTTCATGACCTTCTTAAAGGTCAGAATATGTGACTGACCTTAAATGATCCACTTCAAAAATTGTTATTTAGGAACATACTGCCTGACGTAATCGTTGTCGCTTATTCAAATGTAAAACTCAAAGCAGTATTATATGATTTTGGTCACCATGACCTTGAACGGGTCAAACAAGGTCACTGGCCTTAAATGAGCGCCTGACCTTTTGCTTAGAACAGGTATCTAGATTCTGGGGACACTTTGGAGACCAACTTGGAGTTTGACCTTTTTTGTTCTCGTTTGAACCGAAGGTCATGACCTAAAACCTCAAGCTTTGACTAAGTGAGTTCGCGTACGGCCAATGCACGCCGTTGGTGCTTCTATCTCTTAGTCAAATGACCCCCATCCTACCGAATGGTATCCAACCGGCTACTCGGGCTCATTTTAATGACATTGTATGAAAACAAGCATTTTCTTTTCAATTTTCAGTAAATATCAAAACTTTAA